GCAAAATATTTCATGAATCCACAGAATAGATTTTAATAAACAAACTAACAGATAATTGTCACTGAATGTACAACTGCAACTGATTTAACTTTTGGAGTCAGTACAATTTAAGATACCGGTAGCTGCCGCAGCTTATAAACATTAGCCAACACAAAAATAACTATAAATTTTACAGACACAAGCAGTACTTTCTGTAATGAATGTCAGTGTAGAAGAACTTCAGATTATAATAAATCAATAGGAAAATGATAAGAATCAATTTTGTGATGGAACGCAAGATGGTCTAGGATCGTTAAGCAGCTTTCGGGCTGCTGTTGTTAAGCCGTATTGTTTTACATTATTAGTGTTTAGCATATACCTTAGATCTTTAAGTGGACCGTTTGGTGTTCGATTACCATATCTTAGTGTATAATAATAATAATGAATTTAATTTGTAATGCACTTTTCATTAACAAAAATCTCAAAATGCTACAAAGTGCAACAAAAATCAGTGATAAAATCAACTAAAATCAGTGATAAAATCAACTAAAATCAGTGATCAAATCAACTAAAATCAGTCATAAAATCATGTGGAGGCAGAATGGGCTTGCTTAAAAAGAAAAGTCTTCAAGTCTTTTTTAAAGTCAACTAATGATTGTGGAGCTCTCGGATAGTCAGGGAGGGAGTTCCAGAGGTGGGGGGCAGCCACACAGAATGCCCCATCTCCCATGGTCCTTAATTTAGTTTGTGGAAGGTGCAGGAGATGACTGTTCTGTGATCGTAGGGACCGGGTGGATGAATATGGAGCAAGAAGGTCCTTCAGATAATCAGGTGAAGTTCCGTTTAAACACTGACGGCAAATGAGAGCAATTTTGTACTGAATTCTGTAGGTGGCAGGAAGCCAATGGAGGTTATGGAGAATGGGTGTGATTTGTTCAAATTTACGAGCTCCCAATAAAATCCTGGCTGCAATGTTTTGAATATATTGAAGCTTCTGAAGGTTTTTGCCAGGTATTCCAGTAAACAGGGAGTTGCAGTAGTCGAGCCTGGAGGAGACAAAGGCATGGATGAATTTCTCTGCATCAGCAAAAGTGAGAGATGGGCGCAGTTTGGAGATATTTCGGAGATGGAAGAAACAGGTTTTAAACAGGTGCTTAATGTGATTTTCAAATGTAAAGTGAGAGTCCATTCTTACTCCAAGATTTGTAACAGAGGTGGAGAGGGGGATGTCTTGTCCAGAAAAGGAAATAGTCGTTATAGTTGATGTTTGAACCTGCTGAGGGGTGCCAATCAGTATGGCCTCAGTTTTGGAGCAGTTTAACTGAAGAAAGTTCTGATTCATCCATGCCCTTATCTCCTCCAGGCAGGTAGAGAGGGCAGTGAGTAAAGATGGATGACAATGGTGATGATGATGCTCCAGTCCTGATGTAAAGCTGTGTATCATCGGCATAACAGTGAAAAGAAATGTTGTACTGATTAATACTGTACTGATTACTGGTTGTACTGATTAAACTCCTGGCAAGGACCAATGCAGACATGTTCCTGTTTTTAGTTTTCTACATTCGCCTTATAATCTAGCTGTTTTTGTTATTTTTTTTGCCATCTTATTTGTAAAAAAAAATAAAAATCAGTATGCCTTTTTATAACAGTCTATTGTTGCCGCTGTTGTCCATTGTTGTCATCATTCTTTGTTGAAATCAGGTCTCTCTTGTAAATGAGTCCTCAAAGCTCAATGGGATTTTCCTGTCTAAATAAAGGTTGAATGAATGAAAAATAATTTGACCTAAAAGGAAGCATGTCAAGGGAAAATAGCAGGGGTCCTAGAACAGACCCTTGAGGGACACCACAGGAGACAGACAGTCTGGGACTTGGCATTGCCAAGACTAACACATTCCAGCCTATTGGAGAAGAAAGATTTAAACCAGTCCAGGACAGTGTCACAGAAACCGACCTCCACATGAAGACGGCGGAGGAGGATACTATGGTCCACGGTGTCGAAAGCTGCATTGAGGTCAAGGAGAACAAGGAGAACAAGGAGGGAAGGAGAACCAGTGTCAGCAGCCATGAGGATGTCACTGGTAACTCTCAGCAATGCAGTCTCAATACTATGAGCTGCACGGAAGCCAGACAGGGAGTGTTGTTGTAGGTGGATCTGCAGCTGAGCAGCAACTGCTTTTTCCAGCACTTTTGACAGAAGTGGAAGATGGGAAATTGGGCAGAAATTAGAAAGAATGTCTGGATCCAAATTGGATTTTTTTTATTTTTTAGAAAAGGCCTAATGATGGCAGTTTTAAGAGGCAATGGAACATGACCAGATTGTAGTGACTTATTTATTATTTGTGTGATTAATGGGCTTAGTGGAGAGTGATTGGATTTAATGAGAGACGAGGGGAAGGGATCCAGGGTGCAGGATGAAGGCTTTGTTTTCTTGATGATGGTCTCCACTTCACTCTCAACAACCTCATCAAAGCAGATCAGGGACCCAGAATGCAGACGGGTAGACGGCAAACGAAGATCAGGGAGGCTATGGAGCTGAGATCTAATAGTTAACTTTGTTTTAAAAACATGAAAGGAACAGGTTGCATTTTTGAACAGAGTCCTCATGAGTTTGTTTAATGGGTTTAAGCAAATGATTTATTGTGAAGAGTTGTTTAGAGTTTCCAGGGCAGTTGTTGATGATGTTAGAATAATATTTGGACCGTGCTTCTTTAAGAGAAAAGGCGTAGGCTTTCTGATGTTCTTTATATGCCTGCTGATGTACAGAGAGACCAGATGATTTTACACGTCTCTCAATAGCACGGCCAGCTGCTTTCATCTTGCGCAGCTCAGCAGTGTACCAAGGGGCTGAACGGGAGAAAGACACCAGCCTTGCTTTAAAGGGAGCATGGAGGTCCAGAAGCTCCTGATGAGATTGGTTGTAGTAATCCACAGAGTCATTTGCAGATGAATGATTGACAGTGGTCAGAGTGGAGATCAGAGGACAGAAACTCAGGGGAAATGTTTTTTTTTTTTTTTTTTTTTCCAACTCTTTTTATTGAATTTAACAGCTTGACATGCATTAGTCAGTAGGACAAGATAGCAAAACAGAAAGAATACATCAGTTTCAAATAGGTGATACAAACAAGTACAAGCTAATTTCTCCCAATACCCAACCCACCCCGATCATCCCCATTTCTAGGTCTAAGCACAGGACAAACAGCTAACAGAGATCCAGTCTCTGTGACAAACAAACAAACAAACAAAAAAAAAAAAACAAACAAAAAAAAAAAAAAATTAATTATATACAAAAATAAATAATAAAATCGACAAATTACATGTAGGTGTAACGGCCTACAGATAGTTTAACTTTCTTCTGTGTCAGGGAGCAGAGTCATAGTCTCCGCCCAGGATAAGAAAGGTCTCCAGGTCTCCATAAATTTGCTGGTGGAACCCTTGAGTGAAAATCTGAGTTTTTCCAGCTTCAGGTTGTAAAGGACTTCTCTAACCCATTGGTTATGAGACGGGGGAACGCTTTGTTTCCACCTTAGTAGAACAAGCCTACGAGCTAGAAGGGTAGAGAAGGCTAGGACCTGTTTCAGAGAACGCGAGAGGCCCGGATCCAACGGAACGCCAAATATGGCCGATAATGGATTGGGGTGAATTGCCTGATTATATGCTTGACTAAGTAATTTAAAAATGTCACCCCAAAACCCGCTTAACTTTGGGCAGGCCCAAAACATGTGAGTATGGTTAGCTGGCGATTGTCCACACCTATTGCACACGTCACTGACTGATGGGTAAATTCTGGCTAATTTTGCATTTGTGTAATGTAACCTTTAACTCTTTAACCTTTAAATCTTTTAACGAACTGTTTGGTATTCGTTAGTGTTTATCTTAGTGCATCTTGGCTGTTTAATATACCATATTATTTTACGCTATTAGTGTTTAGCGTATATCTTAGATCTTTTAGCATATTGTTTAGCATTCGTTTAGCGTATATTAGTGTATATCTTAGATCCTGGTATACCATTTCTTTTTATACTTTAGTATATTTTGCTATTTTGGGATGTAACTGGGACCCTGACTACATAATTTCATTCAACCTCATGTACCACGTACGATGCGAATGTCAATAAAGAACCTTGAATTTGAACATGAACTACATTTAGCTTTTAGCTAGCTTTTAACTGTTTGGTCTTTAGCTACCGGTAGTCTTTTTACATTTAGCATTAAGATCTCTTAATGTTAAATGTAAAAAGACTGTTATTCAAACACTGATCTTTGACATATGATTCAGTACCTTTGCTATTATTTGTTATCTTGTGCTACTTTTAAGTTTTAGCTTCTTTATGCTAGTTTTAGCTTGTACCTAGCATTTGGCTAGAATTTAGCATTCAGCTTTTAGTTTAGCATTTCAGTCCTTTTTGCTAGCTGTTCACTACTTCAACTTACCTTTTAGCTACATTTGGCCAGCTTTAAAATAAATGTGTTTTAGGCTAACTTTTTTTACATTTGGCATTTAGCCTGCCTTTTGCTACTTTTCTTTTTTTTTTAGCTTTGAGCTAATATTATGCTTATTTTAGCCAGTGTTATTTATTTTAGCTTGACCCAGTTTTTACATTTTCAGCCAATTCTTTTACAAAAAGTGTAATTTATCTAGTTAGTTTTGCAGCGTCTGTCCTGAGGTCAGGAGACACTGTGATTAAATGTCCAAAGGTTGAGGACAGCCCAGTCCCTCTGTCTGAAGCCTCCAGCTGTTTGAGGACTGACAAAGGGTCACAGAGACATCCAAGTCAATAAATGCTGACTGAGCTGACACATTCCGATCAGATGTCCCTGCTAACGAGCAGAGCACAAAAACAAACCTAGCTTAGCTCAGCCGGTGTTCGAGAGCTTCCTGTTGTCTAACGAGGCCACGGTGACACAATGTCCACACAGTGCTGGTGAAATTAAATCATTGTCACAAACCACAACACAGATTTCACCTGCCTGTCCAGGAGTTAGCCACATTGTGTTTCTGCCAGCTTGTGAAGCTGTCCTACCTCATACTGGATGTACTGTTTCCTCCACTCCGGGGTGATATGAGCTGAGAGATGTTCCGTAAATTTCATTTTGACAGCCGGCTGGTTTTCTTCTCTTCTGCTCTTGGTGTCACCAGGACCAGGACCAGAACCAGAACCGTTCTACAGAGAAGCAGAGACTTCCGCTGTGCTGCTCCAGAAACGTTTTACACACAAACTCTCATCCAAAGATTACAGCCTGCCAGCTCACGGATGCCCTTTTTGTTTCACCTTACCCTAACTGCGGATACACATTTCGGTCTATTTGTTTAAATCACTAAAAGGAGAGCTCGTAGTGTCACATCTTAACGGACGAACAAGACAAACTATAGGCCTTCGCTGGATTTATTGGCGTAAACACAGCGTTTAGTCTAAGAAACACTAGCTTGGCTCGATCGCCTCCTCTCTCTCCCTATTCTGCCTCTCTCTTCCTCCTGAACTACGATGCTTTCAGGTGCAACCGGGAAATACAACCGTCATCCCAGTGCTAGCGTTAGTTGTTATCTAACACAAGTCATTTGTTTAATCTTAATATTGTCTCTGTAATGATCCTGTGGCGGACATGAGACCTGTCCGGGTGTGTCCCGATCCTTATCAAATGTAGACTGTTGGAGACCATGAACAGGAATAGAATTAAAAATATAGAATTATGGATGGGATGTATGTGTGCAGTTAGTGAAAATTAATTTTATAAAACAGATCTATTACTTCTCAGACTTATTTTATATTTTCGTTGCTAACCCAAAAATGCTAGTGGTTTTAACTTGCCTTCAATGTTTAAATGGTATAAATTCCGATGTAACTTGAATGTGACAACAATGACGTTGCCTGCTGCCACCGTTGGGAGAAATGACGTAGATGCAGGCCAGAGCGTGTTTTAGTGAGCAGGGAATGATGGGAATGTTTCCAGTGCTCCTGGTGTGTTTATGCGTCAGTCCATGGGTCTAGGAACCTCACAGTCAAAGGACGCAACTCTGCTCCTCCTCCCTTTAAAAATAAATTCACCCAGAGCTAAAAGACATACTTAAAGATTCACAATTACTAGGAAATAGATATAGAAATTCCTTTATCTCAACAGCTAATATGTGGGTAGGGGGTGTTATTGGTTGAATGGTTTTATTTTTTAATTGGTTAAAAAAATTGTTGTTTTATGATTTTATCAAATTTAAACAAATTGATTTTATAAGTGCCACTGATGCATGCTACATGAGTTTCATGTCACTGTGAAACAAATTGCCACTTGTGGATAATAAAGATACTTGAACTTGAATTTATAAATACATAGCCTTATCAAACAATATGAAATGGACTGTACTGTACTTATATAGCAGCGCCTTTCTACCTTATCAAGATACTCAAAGCGCTTTACACTACAATCTGTGTCCTCATTTACCCATTCATACAGCTCTATACTAGACCTCTACAAAGATAATTGAACAAATCATTCTAAAGAGACTAATCAGAGCTTTATCACATTCATACACCCATGGGACACACATCAGAGGCGATGAGGGGTTCAGTGTCTTGCCCATG